TGAATTGGGAGCATTGGCCGGGACAGTGGTTCGTACCACTTCCCCAATTTTGAAAAAAAATACTTTGTTCCCGCTGCTTAAAGAATTGGTAGAGCTTCATTTGAAGCGGTAGCATCCGACGTGGGGAATGTCATATCAGGAAAAACTAACATAAAGAGGCGGTAAAAAGGACAGCGAGGGATACTATTAGGAAACAAATAGGAGGTGGAAAATGATTAAAAACGAAAAAACGAAAACCAGTTAAAATTTGGTAAATGTTGAAAACAGTCGGACGGATTTTTTCAGAAACACTAAAGATTAAAATGTCATCTTTCCATAAAAGTTCATCTCTTTCCTACTAGGAAATCTTTGACAAAATTTTGCTTTAAAGAACATGTTCAATGGGCCAAAACTCAATAATTTTTTCCTATCAATTTACTGATTGAAGCTAGAATCGATTTCCAGCTGGAAACAGATGGAATTTTATTCCCGAATCTGCAAGAAATTGCTCTAATTCTCAAGTTTTCCGTCGTTAAGGGGAATCGGAAGATAGAAAATGCCGATGATGTCTACTCAATTAACAATTTTTTACACTCGCTTTTTTCAAATATTGAAGTCTATTTGAATAGTGAGCAATTGCATACCCCAAACGGTCTCTATCCCCAGAAAGCATTCCTATCAAACGATTTCTCAGGCACAAAAGGAAAAAAAGACGCCTTAACTATTGAGCAAGGTTACCTATATGAAGCAAATCCTAATGATAAAACTACGGAAGTTTTTATTGATCGAAAAACGGAAATTTGGAGACGAAATAGAAGTGTATGGTCCACTTGCAGTTGATTTTTTCACCGTTGGTAAATTACTTCGTCCAAATGTTAATGTTCGAATAAGACTCTTTCGATCACGACCTCAATTGTATCTGTTAGTACTGAAGAAATATAAGTGAAAAATACAGCCGCATCTCTTTTTAGCAGACAGGTAGCTATCGATGAACACAACCCCCTGGAAGTCAAGACCAATATGCGAAAACCGCCAGCTGCTTACAACTGCATAGATTCTGTACCAAAAACATATATTATTTCCAAAGAGCGAAAACCAGTTTTCAAGGAAAAATTTTCAAAAATGGGCCAATTCGATCCCTGGCATTAGCAATGCAAATTATTGAATCTTTTACTGGACAGAAGAAAGAACCATTTTAATTACCAGAAATTTGGTCTTCGAGAGGTTAAATTTGTTCGCGAAAACAGAATTTTCTCGAACACTTCTAAGAAGTAAGCAATTTTTCTGAAGAAAAAGAGCTCTACTTTTACTGCGAAGCAGTGGAAGCCGGGATTTTCGCGTAGAATAAAAGTAAATAAAAAAAAAATTTGAAAAAGTCTCGCAAGGGTCTTTATACAATATGAGTATTTAATTATGAAATAATAGTGAAATAACAGTTTCTTTTCAGCTCACGAAACAGTTTTTGATTTATTATTTGTTTTTCTTCTGAAGACCAGGCAATGATTCGATTACAGAACGGTAGATGGAATTCAAGTCATTGATAGGAAAAAAAATTCCCTGAATCCATCAGTAGGAAAAAAAGTTTCAACCTTAAATGACAACAAATGAAAAGTTAATTGAAGGTAATCTTATGGGATGAAAACACTGGATTCACTGAAAAGTTGAGAGATGGACGACAAAGCAAGACGGTTTTAAGTTTGAGTTACATATGCGAGGTTGGAGGCAGAATTGATTGATCAAGTTAGCTGTATAAGGTAGCAAAGAAATTGTCAGTAAGATAATGAAATAAGACTCCAATGGAAAACTTTAATCAACAAAATTAAATGAAAGACCAATAGGGTTTTCACTTTATAGGAAAGCAGCTTCTGGGAAACTTGAGATAGTACAACCTCAAGGAATAATCTTTTGGAGAAATGATTTGGAAAAAATCTGATTATAAATTGCTCGAAATGAAAGATTGATTTATTTCTTCTAACTTTTGGAGTGGTTTGTGAGGTTTTTCAATCTTTTTATCGAAGCAGATTTGGAAACTTGAAAACTGAAAAACTCAAGTGATTCGTTTTAGAAAATTTTAGAATGCAACTTTCACTTAAGAATTGCTAGGAGAAGATTCGATGCGGAACGTTGAGGAAAAAATTTATTGGGTTTTTGATTGATCAAATGTTAAGTTTTGAATGATAGTTAAATCAAAAAGAGTAGCCAAAGAAGCTCAATGGGAATATAATCGAAATAGATCGAGTTCAAGCAAAACAAGTGATTGTGAGAGATTCACGTTTTTTGTCTTGAGTTGTGAGACAGAAATAGTTAGGAACTGCTAAAAAAGCAACAATGAGAGATAATAAAACTGAAGCTTAGATTTGATGTGTATCGATCAAGAAAAACTACCATTGGTTCATTCAATTGAGTTTATTTCATTGCCTTAATATAAGTTTAGGAAAACCATGAAGCTGAAAATTTTAAATTTCAACAGATTAAAGAAAGATGTTTAATCAAGGATAATTCATTTCAGGGGTTAAGGGATTTATTTTAGATTGAAACCATTAACCCGGAAAATTAGGTAAAGTGAGTTCCCAAATCAATTACGATAAATTTCTTTAAGTGAAAAAAAATAATCTGATGAGAGTTTGTATCCCTCAGTGATGTCATAAAGTTATCTATTTAATTAACAATTGAACGAACTGTCCCCTTATCCTTTTAATTAACAATTAAACGAACTGTCCCCATTGAGTCCGCCCATAAATTAACTCATGTGAAAAAATTAGTCCGATAAGATATTTAATACGCCCCGAGAAAAAAATTAGGCGCATTGAGTAACATATTCACGTGACGTTGACAGGTTGACCTCTTTCCGAAAATAGGCATGACTTCTTGCTGCTCTATACTACTTACAGTCATTTTTGCTGCATATTGTTTATCGAATGTTAATTATTAGTTTTCAAGAGTAATGGACGTAGTTAGTACTCTTACATAGGTCGTGCTGTTTTTTTTTGTTTTTTTTTTCAGGAAAAAGTCTTAAAATTTGCTCACGCTCAGTTTTCATTTTTCGCGGTTTGACTTGCGATTTCTTTTTTAGTTCAGTGCTTTTCCACTGGTAAAAGGAAGGCAAACTCCAGTCTCGAACAGTAAAAGTGTAAATGTCACGAAAATTTGATTGAATTCTAATTGTGAAACTGGAAATGAATTATCATATTTCCAGCGAAATAAAAGTTTTGCCTATGGATCAAGTTTTCTCAATTTGGGTCAATTTCAACAAAAAAGTATCAATCATATATGTTATACAAATTCAAAGAGCCTTAAGGTCATATTTTTTTCTCCGAAATTCAAAAGTTGAAGGTTTTTGAAAAAGCAAGTCAGTTTTTTTTAGTTTCCTTGCGTTCATCACTCTTTTCCAACTGTCAGTTGGCTATTTTCTTGCGTTTTACAGTTCCCCTTCATAACTTTTTTTCATTGCCGTTTCTACTCTAATTTTTAACTCGCCTAGTGCAAATTCGCTTGTGTTCTAATTACGATATGTGGCTAGATGGCGTTACCCAAATATAGACTATTTTTTTAGATTGATTTAATACCCTTGCGATTTTTTCATTTCTAGATAAAATTGACACGTTTACACTCATTTTTTTTTTAAAATGGTTCAATGACACGCTATTCTCGTATTTTTTTAAATCAATAGTAGTTTAAATGCGTTGTTTTATTGAGTTTGTTAAAAAAAAATTCTGTAAACTTAATTTTATCTGATCGGAGTTTCATTTTTTAGGAATTAAAGTCGGCGCTTATTTTAGGATTTAGAATTTTTCAAAATTACTCGATAGTTCTCAGCCAGTGTCTCTTTCTTAGTTGTTTTGGTTCTTGCAAAACGAAATGAAATAGTTCGGTATTTGTATAACTTTGTTTTATCTGAACAAAATCAGAACAAGTTTTTTTTTCAGTGTGTTATTTATAATTGGGTTCATCGCGTGTCTTTTGCATTGCAGACAGGTTTAAAATATCAGTTGGAGTTAAACTGATTTTTCAGCTTGTTTACACTTGTGAAGCATGTGTATTAGTACGAACCGTCTTTTTTTTCTTATCTAAGTCGCAAATAAAATTGCTACTTTTGGTGGCAGTTTTCAATAGATAGGCTGCAGTAGCACGCTAATGTCATATGTGCTTTAACATTTGATTAGTAAAAAGTCAACCCATTTGATGCGTTTGTAATTCATCAAATGAACCGAAAAAAGTTAATTGTTTCAAACAGCAGTACAAGATAAAAAGCTTAATTTCAGAATTTTTCCAACTCATTTTATCTCACATTTTTTTTGAAATACATTATTTATACTTATGCTTTCCATTTTTGACATGCAAAATTGTGTATTTCTGTATTTAGTGACCATTTTGCGGTATCGAATTGTCATTTTATTAGCATATGTAGCTTGGTTATTAGTAGCTAGTTTTTGGGGAATCAAAGCATCCGTGGCTGAGTGGTTAGTGCGTGAGACCTAAATTTGCTAGGTTGGAGATTCAAATCCGAGACGTGGCCGAGTTTTTGCTAATTCGAGGCTTATTTCTACTTTTTCCTGTTTCACTTAATAGCTCTTTTTTGGTCGTGTTCTTGCAAATTTTTGCGAAGCGCAGCTTCACCTGTGTTAGTATTCAAAAATGTTTTGCAACAGTTTTCCAATCTGTTTTTTAAAACTATTTTTTTTACAACATTTTTTCCCACTTTTTTTTGTTTTTTTTTCTCTGTTCTGTTACACTTTTCTAAGTATCTTTTGGCTATGTTTATGTTTGGTCAGGTTATTTACCACATAGACTGGTCATGTCTGATGCTTTCCAGTTTTTTCTCGGAGTTTGTAATGCAATTAGAATCCAGAATCATTGCGCTTTTTTATCGTTAATTCTTCAACTATCTGATTTAGCATGAAAGCTTAACCTGAATCCAAAAGTTTCTCTAAACTTGCGAAAAGGTGGCCTGGTTGATTAAATGTTCATAATTAATTTGTTTGGTTTTTGACTAACAATTTAAAGTCTATGTAATTTGATAGGTAATCTCAGAAAATCCAAAATCGGAAAGCCCACTTCGAATAATGAGGCGAAGCCTGACCGGGAATGTGGGCTAGTTGTGAAAGATTTGGAACAAAATCCAGAAAACGTAGCTCTCCAAAATTCAAATACGGAGCCGGCAGCTGCGTCTAATGCAATCGAAGATGCAGAGAACGGATTGGAATCCTCGCGAAACACGACAATTGAGGATCTCTTTGATACTTTAAAACAATTAGAACAGCCTGATGATTTCCCTGAAACAAATTTGAAAACCAAGAAATTCTTAGTCGAGAATTCCTCTGCTGACATGAATTTTACGAGTAGCGATAGCTCGATGCAATCGTCCAGCTCAAAGCAAGATGGAAGCAGTGCGAAAAAACCAATTGAGAATAAAAGACTGAACGAAATTTTGGAGTTTTTAGACCAGGCGGACAAAGAAGAGGAGGCAATTTTGTCGGGAAGAGCAGTTAAGACGAATGAAAACAAAAGTAAGTCTTTCAAAACAATTGATCTTGGTTTGATATTGACTCAGTTATCATAACTTTAAGCTAAACTATTCTAATAAGTCAGTACTTCACTTGCAGTCGGAAGTTATTGCACAAAGTCAAATGTATCTTTAGTGCCAATAGAGTATTGTCACTTTTATAGCAACACGAAATAAGATCATTTGTAGTTCCCAATGGAAAAGATAATGCGAGTAAAAATTAAATCTTGTATGGCGATAATGATTGATGTGATGAATAGACAGCATGGAAACTACTGCGTGTTTTAGATGAAAGTGGAGGAGGCGATATGGATAATACAGAGCTGGACTTACCGCCTCCAGTTTTGGTTCCAAGTGCGGAGGACCTGGTGAAGATGGAGGAGGCAAACAAAGCTGCGGCAGAAGTCACTGACTCACTTCTTCAGCACAAGTTGGAGCTGGCTCAGAAGAGCAGGACTGTCGACATGTTGACCAAGGCGCTCAATCAGCAGAGGGAGTTGACGATGAGACATGCTAAAGAACAGGTGAATAACTGACACGGGCAAATGGTGGAACTGTAGATTGATACTTCAAAAAATTGAACGAACGTTAGCTTCCTTTGGTTAAGTATTCGTTCTTAACTTTCTTAGTCCAGGTCGCTAAAGTTCCACTTTTTATGATTGAATATAGATGAACGACGTGAATTTTCATTAATTTAAGTCGTGTGGTTTATTATAGGAAAAGGTATTTAACTTTGTGATAGCAAGTCGTTTATAATCAGGAAGTAGACTTTTTCGTGGCAGAAACTTAGTTTACATTTCAAGATCATATTTTTTGATTTACTGCTGATTGGTACCTTAACTATGAGGGAGAGAACGGATGGTTTGATTGTAACAGCGATTTATCAATAGATGTTGGTTATGTTTTTAAGTGCCAATTAAGGTAGTGAAAGTAGTTCCCAATGGTGATGATTTTATTCTAATTTTTTTTTGTTAAAAGAAGGGCGAATTTCACTTTCGAACAGCCAAAGTGTAAAGCTCTCAAAAAACGTGAATGACTTCTCGTTTCAAAAGTATACTTTATTTTTTTTCTGATTTCACGCTGGCTATGTTTTCATTGTTCAAGCTTTTACCCTGAAAATTATTTTAAACATACAGCAACTGGCGGTTCTTTCTCTGTTTCCTCCACCGAAAGCGTGGGAACGGTGGAAAGGCGTGGGAACGGTGGAAAGTTTTCAGGCGTGGGAACGGTGGAAAATTCCTGCTGGCTATCTTTGAAGGCTAGAACACTCAACAATTCTGAAAACAATATCAGTGAAAATTTAAAAAGAATATTTTCCCGTTTTTCACGATTCGTTTTTGCAGTATTGCTTATTGATGTCATTTTTCGATTTGGCATCTGGCAGAGATTATCGTCGTTGTTGGTTTAACAGATTTACCTGTTTTTCTGAAGTTTTAAGGTAATTGATATATTTTTAGAAAACTTCTCGTATTTGTTTATTCTAAACAATGATTTTGTTGCCGTTCGTAAGCTCAAAACGAATCATCTTTCTAGTGATGATTTTTTATTCGAAAAATTTCTATGGCGGCTTTATGTCTGAATCTGCACTTTTTTATCATGGTCTTATAGGTTGTATTAACAATTTCTCTGCATGTATCGCAATTGTTGTGAAGCTCAGCCTCTGTATGCTGTTTGTTTGTAGGAATGTTTTGGTGGTCATATGCTAGAATTTTTTAACTTTTAAAAGTTTATTTGCTAAGTTGATGGAAAATAAAAATTAAGCTGTCCAATAAAAATGCATTTGGCACAAAAAATTATTTTGATTTTAATTTTGAAATTGATTTTAAATCCGAGCGAAGTAAAAATACCTTTTGATCTAGTTTTATTGGGATAGTGCATTCAAAAAACGTTAAATTATAAAAGATTCTTGAAGTTCGAAAGTAATAATTTTTATGATTTGTCCTGCTGTGGTAATAAAAGTCAACCTATGGATCCCGTGAGGTAATTTTGAATCGCAATTCTTGTGGCAAAATTTGTTTTTGTAATTCCTTTCAAAAATTGCAAAAAAAAAGTTTCAAATTAATGCGTTCTAGGACCGAGAAACGAAGCGACGAATAAACGAGCTGAAGCAAAGCCTTGAGACGAAAATCACGAGGCAGACTGGCTTCATAGACCAGCTGATAGAATCGAACACGAAGCTATCGGAAAAGTGCCAGTCGCTCACCAATGAAGTGAAGGAGAATGCACTCAAGTACGAGCGCAAAATGCGGCAGGTACGTTTGTTAAATAATCTAATCTATTGAACGAAAAGTCTGAAGCATGTTTAATTTATGTTTCATTAATGCTTTTCATTGCAGACAGTGTTCTGACTAGAGTTATGTTTGCAAAAACCTTTAAAATATATAATTCCATTTTCTTTGTTTTCACTTGCAAGGGCAAGTGACTTGTAATTGGTAACTAGACTATTTTGACCGTAAACAACTTTCGTACAAAATTGTAAAAAATTGAATTAGCTTTATTATAGAACTTCAATACCTTCGGTGTCCCTTTTCACATGATTTAGTGGTAATGCGCGTGCCTTGGGATCCCTTGGCAAGGGGTTAGAATCCCGGTCAGACCTTTTTGTTTTCGATAAGAATTAATTTGATGGTTTTTTGAGTGAAATTTTATATTGTCGGACAATTGTTAGTCTGTCTAATTTTTTCGGCTTATTTTTACACTAGTGATCAGCGTAATTTTTTATTAGGAACCGTCTTTTTTTCTAACCTAACTCGCAAATAAAAGTGTTCATTAAAAATGTTCTTTTATTTGGAAATTTCAATGTAGCATTGGAAATTGCATAGCATCTGTTCTTTGCTTATTTTGGGGCTAGTTCTTGTTAGCTATTAAGCTCCTGTGGCTGAGTGGTTAGTGCGTGAGACTCATAAGCTATAGGTCGCAGTTTCAAATTTGAGACGTAGCCGAATTTTACTAATTCGAGGCTTATGTCTAAATTCGAGGTTTATTTATTGCACTCAATAGAGCTGCTTTTTATCGTGTTCTCGCTACTGTTTGCGAAGCAAAACTTTGTCTCTGTGTAGAAAGTATGGATTTCTGCAATTGTTATAAAATCAGAGCTTATACTTTTTTGCGGCTTAACTTCTAGTTAAGAGTCGATGAACGTAGTGAAGACTTGTATACAAACAAAAGTGTAAAGGTCACGAAAAACGTGATTAACTTCTGGTTTCAAAAGTGGATTTTCAGATGGTAAAGGCTTAATGTGTTGATCAATGTTTCTCAACTTGTATTATGTTTATCAAAAAATAGACAATCATAAATTGTTATTGGACTTCGAAAAGCTTTGAGGCTATATATTTTTGTTACTTTGAAATCGAAAAGTTTTCTTTTCAAAAATATGTGTTTTTTTTTCTGTTTCGTTGCGTTCATCGACTGTTTTCCAATGGTCTGTTGGCAATGTTTTAACATAATCACTTGAATCAGTTGGCATGCTTGTTCGGATCAAATTTCTGGCCAACATTTTTGTTTGCGCTTTTTCGCAGTTTCAATGGCTGTTCTACTCGATTTTTTTGAAGTTTTTAGACCAACTGTCATTTTTCCCTGATTATGCATGTTTTTTTTTTCGTTTTACGGTAATCTCGGGTTATATGATTTCAGTTGATTTTTTTATATTTGTATAGTCACCTCATAATTTGTCATCTGGAAGGAATTGGGTTGGTTGGGTGGTTGTCTGTTTGTTGGTTGGTTTGTTGAAAAACTTCTAGAGGGAGGGTGTTGCGTATTCAATTTTGCAAATTATGTTTTTTAAAGCTTTTTTCCTCAAATTGAACCGCTTTCGAGATAAATATTTAAAAATAAGTCGATTTAAAAAAAATCAATAACTTTTAAAGTATGATTTTTGATTTTAACGAGTAATTAACGTAGTGCTTTTTTTTCAGGAATAAGTCTTAAAATGCTCTAATAACTACAGATGTGCCTTCATGCATATTAATTCGCTTAGATATTTATGCAATTTTTGAGTTCAATTGAAATTCATCTGTTGAAAGTTAAGTAAAAAGCTTTCTCCTAATACGAACGTGGAAATGGCACAAAAAAGTCACGATTTCTAGTTTCGAAAGTGGAATTTAATTTTTAGATTGTCAGCAGAATACTAACTTTACCTATTGATGCATTTTTCTCAAGTTGGGGCAATTTTATCAAAAAAGCACCAATCATAAATTATTCTAGAAATTCAAAGATCTTAAAGGTCATCTTTTTTTCTTTGAAATTCGAAAGTTTAGAATTTTCAACTGAGTCAATGTTTTTTTGTTGTTTACTTGCGTTCATTACTCTTTTCCAACTGTCAGTTGGCTATGCTTTTTCGACTAGCTGCCTTGCCGTTTTCGAGTTTTCTCGCGTGGGGTGTGCAGTTTCCTTTTGTTACTTTTAATTTTAATAGACTTCAATACTTCCTTCTTAGTGTTTTTTTTTGTTTTGGCTTGAATGGTTTTGGCTAATTTCATATTGACGTATTCGCCTTTTTTTGTCGTTTGATAGGCAATCGAGATATTGCAATCGATGTATTGCAATCAAAGGTATTGCAATCGAGTTCTAGAATTTTTCGAGTTAATCACTTTGTGCACAGGGTGACTGAAGTTGTGGTCATCTCTATCTCTACTGATGGGTACAGTCAATTTTTGAGCATGTCTGCGTTTTATTTGCCCGTTCTGTTCGTTGTGTTTATGGTAGTTGTAAAATGACCAATTCTTGTTTCAGTATATCAGTTTCTTTGTCTTTTTCATTTTTCGGCTGAAAAAAAATCGTCTTAGCAGCCTCTTTAAGAGGAGCAAAAAAGTCTTAATATTTTTGGCGGGAACTTGAAAACTGATAAAATTAATTTTTGTCCGGCGCAACGTTTTTCTGCTCAAAAAATTGTCGCTTTTTTGCCGCTTTATTTGTTTAATTTCGATGCTAATTTAGCATTCATTGGTCTTACTAGGGGCATTTTTCCATGAAAGGAATTTTTGTTCAAGACAAATCGAAGACAAATGTAGGAAACTTTTGTTAAATCAATTGCTTCGATCTTCTGTAATTTGTTATGCTATGTAGGGGCTTTAACCCAAAAAAGTACGATGCCTCGCTTTTTGCCTCTGATTGTGAAATTTCCAAGTGGTAGATAATTCAGTTCCAAGATTTCGGATATTTTTTTGCAAATTTTACCTTTTTGCGAGAAAATATTTTTTGTCAAGTTTTCGTAAAGTTTTTCTTCGATTTGTCTTTTAATCTGCAAATAATGAACGTCATTCATTTTTCTATCAAAAGTGGCGTGAAGCTCTTTCTAGATCAGTTTGTCTGGTCGCGCTTTGATGATATTGCATGGCTTTAAAGGGAGATTGAGAAAAGGACAAGAAACAATTGTTAGAGTAAATTGTTAGAGTAAGTGAATGCATAAGGGTGATCGTCAATGATTGTAGTGAAGACTTTTATATAGCTCGTGTTATATAGCTTTTTTCAGTTTTTTCATGAAAAGTTCTTAACAGATGTTCACGTTCAAATTTGGTTTCTCGGGGCTTAACTTTGATTGCGTTAGTTGTATCACAAAAAACTGGCTCGTTGTACTCATTGCCGGGGATAAGATTGAGGAACGTTGAATGTTGCAGGTGAATGAGTCGAATGATGCGGAGAAGAAGAAGCTGAAGGAGACTCTGATGGCGGCGGAGAAACTGAGACGAGAGAAATGGATGGACGAACAGACTCGCAACCTCAAAGACATCACTGTAAAAGGTGAGAGTTAAATGGACGCTTTTGTTCTGCAATGAGGGTCTTAACTGTAATTAGGGCAGCGGTGGTTTGGTTAAATGTTAACGTCTCCGCCTATCAATCGGAAGGTCGTATGTTTGAGGCTCCCCATGAGCCGTGCTCGTTGCTTGAGGATGGGGCAACATTACCCAGCCCAGAAAAATAACCAAAAAAAATTGCACGAAGTTCTTAAACAGGGACACAACAGCGGTTAGTCACGATGAGCTGTACAGCTCGTATGTTGGTCCTATCCCTCGTGTATTAATGGTCTTAACTAGTTGGCCCGAATTAAATATAATGTCGACACAAAAATAATTAAAAGTGGGATTCATGGATTATTTTGCAATGTCTGGTCCACTTTAAGAGAATGAATATCAGTAATTTTGATTAAATCTTCCTGAAGAAGACGACAATAAAACGTGGGCCTAATTCAGCTAAAATTAATCCGTTGATTGTCATTTGAAATCAACTATGTATTGTATCACGTAGCTACGCTTACTTTATAAACCAACGCTCTGTAAGCAATGTTTTTATTGATCCTCAAAGTCAAAAGAAAATTTATTTAAAATCAGTCGCTTTGTATTCGGTTTCCTGCTTTCAATTACTTTCTAGTAAATTTTGGTTTTCTTAGTAAGCGGTGGGGTTCTAAAGGTCGGAAAAAATAGCTATCCGTAATATAGCTCAAAAGATTTTTCCGCGGAATTTGAAATACATTTAAAGAACCATTTTTAAACAGACATGAACCTGGTTGTCGCAGTCAAAAAAACGTTAAGATATCCTTAATTTCAACAAAGAAAATCACGATGTATAATGCAGATAATCATTGAAGATTACTTGATTGAAGTGTCTGTTTGATCATATCACAGCATCTCTTTTTGGGAATTAAGATATGATTGAACCACACTTGAAATTGTATCGCTATCCGCGATTCTTTTTCGCCAGTTTATTGAAGAAATTCCGTTTCAGGTCTGGAGCCGGAGATCCAGAAGTTGATAGCTGGACACAAGGCAGAGATGAGGAAGCTGAAGGCACTGCATGAGGCAGAGGTGTCCCAGTCGGATGAGAGGGCAGCCCTGAAGTACACTCATGAAAAGGAACTCATGAGAAACAACATGCAGATGGATCTTGAATCGGCCTGCGAGAAAGGTTAGTGTGTATTCAAGACATGAATCTGTCTCAAGTTAATTCTCGCAAAACGCGCTAAAATCATTTAAAAATGTTATGATTTGTTGCGAACTAATTAGTATTTTTTTTACTTCTGTGAACAACAAAGAGACAATTTAAGACATGAGTAATCAGCATCTTGTCTTAAATAGTGTGCGATTTTTAATAGCAGTGTTAGAATTCCATTCACTTTTTATTTCAATATTTGAAAACTTCAACATTTTCATTATTATGTAAGCAACTTTTGCATTAAATTACCTCAAAGAGAACTTATTTGAACAAATTTACTACTGCTCTTGGGGGAAATGAAAAAGAGCTGGTATGAGTTTTGAGCATAAAGCAGTGTGCAATTTGCTTTTTAATATTTGAGTATTTAAGATAGTATCTGAAAAAGATACTCAATTACAGGTTCTATATGACATGATTAAACTGAAATAGTTTAGTGTACAAACCCCTTAACTTGAAAAAAGTCCGCCTGTAATTTGATGGGTGTTATATTGGAGTTTGTGAAATGTGAAATATAGCGGCTGTATGGATCGATCGTTTTTAGTTTCACAAGCTGAAAATCATTTTTTACTGGTGTTTATTTCTACTTCTTCAACGTTGAGCATCATCATAGTTATCAGTTTGCTAAACGCCATCCCATCTTATTGGACAGATACTGCAAAAAAATATATACCAAAACTGCGAACAAAGGTTTAGATATTATTAACTAACTCAACCTCTGCTACTGGGAAAAGTACTTCCGAGCTACAAAAATCAGATGTGCGCAACCGTTCAAATAATATATATATTTTTTGAAGTTCGGTTGTTACTAGTTTCCATAAGGGTGTGCGAATTGTTTTTGTTGTTTTTTTATTGGGGTTTTTTAAGACGTAGCGAATTTTACTAATTCGAGGCTTATTTCGAATTTCGAGTTTATGTTCTAACTGCACTTTATATAGCTGCTTTTTGTCGTGTTCTCGCTAGGCGAAGCGAAGCTCCGTCTCTATAGAAAGTATAGAATTATGCAAGCGTTACCAAATCGGAGTATATACTTTTTTTTGCGACTTGACTACTATTTAAGAGTCGATGAACGCAGTGAAGACGCTTATATAGGTCGTGATGATTATTTTCAGGAAAAGCCTTAAAGTTTGTTCGGGGCCTAGGAACTTAGACGACAAGAAATTAGACGACCGTATAGAAACGGAGTTAACGGACCACCAGTATTTACTCAGCCAAAATTTAATTTAAACAAATTTCACGCAATTTGCTCGCAAGTTATTGTCTAAATTGGACAACCAGTATTAACGCAGCCAAAAGATAATTTAAGTCTGTAAACAAATTTCACGCAAGTTATTGTCTAAATTCCGTTGTTTTTTGATCGTCTAATTTGCTTGTCTAATTTCCTAAACCCCAGTTTGTTCATGCTCAAATTTGATTTTATGGGGTTTGACTTTTGATTTCTTTTTAAGTTCAGTTCATTTCTTTTCTTAATAGAAAGGCAAACTCCACTATCTATCGAACAGTGAAAGTGTAAAGATCACGAAAAACGTGTTCGACTTCTTGTTTCGAAAGTGGAATTTAATTTTCAGATTTCACAGCGAAATTTAAAATATTCTTATTGATCCAGTTTTCTTAAAGTTTCAATCATAAATTGCGCTTGAAATTCGAAGAGCTTGAAGGACATCTATTTTTTTTCTTTAAAATTCGAAAGTTTTTTCCGACTGTCTGTTGGCTCGGTTTTTTTGTATTAATTATTTTTCTCCAAATACAGAAGTTTCTTTGTGAAATAATCTGAAGTTGATGCCATGGTTGTTCAGAGCGAGAGTTGGCGAGACAGAGGTATGAGAAGCAGTTGGAACAGGAGGAGCAGAACTACCAGCAGCAGAGGAAGAGACTCTACGCTGAGGTGCAGGAGGAGAAGAGCAGAGTGAACGAATTGGCCCAGAGACAGAGGGGCGAGCTGGACCTCAGACAGAAACAGGTATGTGCGTGGGTCCGTGTGTGTGTGTGTTTGTGTGTGTGTGTGTGTGTGTGTGTGTGTATGTGTGTGGGGGGGGGGGGGGGTGGATTGGTTAGATGGAAGTTATTTAAACTAAAGTTCCTCAATAAAAAGCAATGCAAAAAGATCATAACATTTATTGGGAGTGATTAAGTCTCACCCAATTTCTTATTTTTCTTCTCACATTTTTCTAGGGTAAGAGTAAAAGTTTTTCTTGAAAGGATACCGCAAAAATAGAATTACTGAAATCAATTATGATTATTTTATGGATGTGACCTTGTTTGAGAACTTGAACAATGCGAGCTGCCTTTGAAGTGTTAAAAATTGCGCAGAAAACTCACCCTGCGTCACAGTTTTTCCAAATGTTTGAGAATGGTTGAAAAATTAACCTCTTTCCATATTGGTTATCTGATTATGAAGAAGTTTCCTTGCTGTTTTCGGAACTGCAGAAATCAATTTTGACTCTTTAACATTTGGTCAAATTGACAATTGGGTGAGTGCACAATGATTTGTTGGTGTAAAGTTGACCAACAGTAAAGTTGGCAGATGTTGAAAAGTCGAAAATGATTTTTTGAAATTCGGAAAACAAGGGAATTGTTCCGATCACCCTCTTACGATTGCTGTGCTGTATGATCTGTTTGTTCATTTGTGTGTTTAGCTGGAAGAGAGCAATCGGAAGATGATGGAGGACATGCGAAGGGAGTATGAGAAGGCGAGAGTGGAGCAGGAGCAGAGACACAGTCAGGAGATGAAGGAGTACAAGGACAAGGTCAGTCTCATTCTACATTCTCACACTCTCAGTGCTTGACTAGTTATTTCCGCCCAGTCATTTCCGACCCAAAAGCACTCATTTCCCGAGCTGTGTTTCCCGAGGCGGAAATGACTGTGTTTTCAGGGCGGAAATTACTGGAGTGAAAGTGACTGGAAGCCTCTGTGTCATTGGTTTACCTTCTTCTTTTTTACACACAGTGTTTGCGAGCATCGTGTTATAAGCTCGGTCCATATTTATCCAACCCAAGTCATGAGTTCTGCAGTTTTATGCAAAGTTTATAGCTTAACTACATAGCACATGATCCAGCTATATCCTCTATATAATTTTTGATCGACAATATGTTCAAGCGCATGCTGTGCTGCCGTATATGTAAAAAAAGTTTTGTTTTTTAATGTTGAAGTTGATTAAGTGCAGAAGAACGAGAATTTAATTTATCAAGAGTTTTGAACGTAGTGAATACTCTTATGTAGGTCTGGTGATTTTTTTTCAGGAAAAATTTATTCCAGCTCAGATTTGATATGTTTTGACTTTTGATTTCTTTTCAAGTTCAGTTCCTTTTCTTTGCTGAAAGAAAGGCAAACCCCACTATCTATCGAACAGCCTAAGTGTAAAGGTCACGAAAAACGTGAATGACTTCTAGTTTCAAAAACGGGTTCCTTGAGTTTTTACACTTTTTATACTATCTATTGGCTATGTTTGATTTCATTTCAAGACCTAATTTTTATTTTTGTCTTAGCTACGGCTCTTTTCCTTATTTTTGACTGTTTATTGCGCTTGCGATTAGCGAGCGTTATCAAATCAGAATATAGACTTTCAGAATATAGATTCTGTTAACAGCGGGTTAACAAAAGTACTTGGTATCTTGGGTTATAAAGAATTCAATTGTCAAAGCGTCTTCGCCACATTTGGTCTGGAGATAACTTAATGTCCGAGATGGCAAAATTCCTGGGGTAGGAACTGATCTAGACCTGTTCTTTTTTTAAGCGGAAATATCCCGTTTCAAATAAATTGTTGGCTTTTTTTGTCTGCTAATGTTTTGTCGGCATAGTTGAGTGATATCAGTTTCAGTTAATGTTGTATCGGCTTAGTCTATTTATTTTGCATAATTTCAAGGGCAAGTATATTCGCATGCGATTATGTGTTTCAGATTGGATGGGTCATGAAAGTTTATAACAACAGTTTAGTTTTCGGCTCAAACAGGTTTCGACGCAAAATTTGTTGCGGCTCGGTAATTATTTTTCAGTTCTTTTTAAGGTTGTTCATGAACTTCCTTGTATACAACCATGAAATTTTTGTAGCTAAATCTTTTTCAACTTTTCAAGTAATTTTTTTCAGCTTAATTTTTCAGAAATTTTTTTCATCATCGTAAGCTTTATTTGAGCCGTGAAAACTTAGTTTTAACCGAGTAAATTGGTTTTGGAGTTTATTAACGCAATTTTGGCAATCAACAACTTCAAAAAATATTTACAATCGTTTTAAAATTGATTTTCCTCGAAACCTGGTTTCCAAATCGCTTATTTGACTATGACTGTCGAATATGCCAAATTACTATTTTTTTCGTGCAGATCTTAATCACACCACATAAAAAACACGACACTAATTTGAAAAAAAAAGTATGTAAGACTTTGGTCTGAATATTCATTGCTATTTGCACAGGAAACGGCTAAACTTGTTTCTTTTTATTTTTCTTTGTTGAGTTTTTGCCTGATGAGCATTTGTCAGTTGATTTTTCGCAGTTTCAATGGTCTAGAGCACAGTGGTTGCATCACTTCTCATTCTAAGTGGTCGCACTTTTCAGTCATATTGTTTGAACCTGGGCATAGCATCTATGTTAAGTAGTAATGTGTTTTGTATCATCGTTGTTTTGTCAGATGGAGGCTGAGCGAGCGAGTTGGGAGGAGACTTACATGAAGAAGCAGGAGGCGGTGCTGCTGCAGAAGGAGAGGGAGATGGCGGAGCGAGTGAGGAGTGGGCGGGACAAGGAGATCGAGTTAGTCATCAGTCGACTGGAGGCAGACATGGAGAAGAGCAGACAGGAGAGCGAAAAGGTACGACACCACTTTTGATAATAGTGAATTGTTTCCACGCTTGCAATCAGACAAATACAATATTTTGTATGTTTTTTTAACCCAGTCTCAAGCCTGAGTGAACGTCATGAGACCATGTGGTCCGTTTTCAAACATCTTTTTCACTTTATAGAATTAATTGATCTATTTGACACCTACTACTGTTGCTACTAATAGTTAGCAAGTACATCTAGTTGAGATCCTACTACTACTACTTAAAGGTACCTAGTTGAACTAGTAAGGTAGGACAACGTAGGACCACGTAATGCGGTAACTCGCAACAAAAGACAACTCGCAACAAAAAACAACTAGCAATATACTCATCGCCGCAATCGCACCATCGTGTTGCGAGCTTGCCAACAGAGGGTAGGACTGGAGAAAGGGGTGTCATCCATTTCGACGCAGCTGTTGCCGCCTCGACGAAGCAGATAATATTGGGAACCCGGCGGGGACAGAAGTGGGGTTCGAACACACACCCGCAACATTTGGGTCTTTTTGGTCATGTCCCGAAATGACGTGAAAGGATATATTGACTGTAACTCATTGAATCACCTCAATTTTTTTTGGGTCAAACATATTTTCTTATTCCACTCAAGATGAAATGGAGGTCATACAGTTTTATACGGCTCGAAGTTTCCATTAACCGAGTCAGCTGTTTCGCATAAATTATTTATTTTGTTAGTTTTATCTTTTGTGAAATTTTGTTTATCTGGATGCTTCTTGAGAGTTATCCGATTATCTGATGCATCTAAACAAGCACAAAGCAATTTTACAACTAAATCATGTATTCACAGTACAGAAATCATCATTTAAATTAAAAGATATCCAGCAAAACTAACAGCTACAACTAAGCTCCGTACAACGCAGGAAATAAATTACCTTCCTTTTCACCCGTGATGTCACCTCGTTCAATGGCTCCGAGGTTATAACACTTAATCTCAAGAATCAACTGTCGAGAATAATAAAGACACCAATAGCAGATGTTGAAACTGGCTTTTGTAATTTATGACGTTTTTCTATTCAATTGTCAGGCAAAACCATTAACACCGACAAAAGAGGATCTGTCGGGCTATCTTTTTTTCGCTAATAGAGTTCTAATCTGTCAGGACTGACTTTTCAGTATGAAAACACTGTAGGGGCTCATTTTAGGATTTTTTATCGGTTTTAATAAAATAACTATCCGAGCACGGGAGTTTCACTCGGTTCTCTAGACCGAACTCTATTCTGGGTTGGAAAAAGTGGAAGTTTCTCCGCTCTTAGGGAACCGTGGTAGTCCCACTGTTTTACTGACAAAATACGCAATTCTCAACCACCTCCGGAGAAGAAAGAAACTTGCTTAGAAAAACTGAAACTTTTCGCGAACCGATTCAGTCTATGAAATAACTTGAAATAATTCAAAGTTTCCTTGATTGAAAAGCTTGCTTAGGAAACATTAATTTTTACTATGAATCGGTTCGGAAAAGTTTCAGTTTTTCTAAGCAAGCTTTTCAAGCTATGAAACGTTGAAACATTTGCATTTATTTCATAGACCGTTTCATAGCTTGAAAATCTTGCTTAGAAAAGCTTAAACTTTCCGCGAACCGATTCGGTTTATGAAAAAACTTGAATTGTTTCAAACTTTGTAGCATATGAAGTTTGCTTAGAAAAATTTTAATTTTTCGCGAACTGAATCAATCTATGAAATAAATGGAAATACTTCAACGTTTCATAGCTTGAATAGCTTGCTTAGAAAAATTTAAAGCTTTTTGCGAACTGATTCAATCTATGAAATAACTTGAAATATTTCGCTGATTCCAAGCTATAACCTTTTGCTTAGAAAAACTTAAACATTTTGCGAACCGATTCCGTCTATGAATCAATTTGATAAGTTCAAAGTTTCATAGCCTGAATAGTTTGCTTTGAAAATTTTAAAGCTTTTTGCGAACTGATTCAATCTATAAAATAACTTGAAGTATTTCAATGTTTCAATTACTTGAAACAAAATTATCCACATTTTTATATAAGAGAACGAAGTCCTATAAGCGAATTGAAGCGATTCACTCCAGAACTTAATCGAATCAAGTACATCTTGCTCAATAACTAGGTTGAGAGTTTCTGGCAACTTTATCAAAAAACTGTTCGAAGTTATATGACAATATTGATCAAAATTTTCGTTTAAATGACCTCAAAAAGGTTTTCAATAGCTTAAATTGGATAAATGCGTGAAATATCTTTTTTGAAAAAGTCAAATCGGGTTTTTACTTATAGTTAAGTTATTGAAACACATTCAAGTTACGTTTGCCTAGTTTTCACGTAGTTTTTTAAGTAAATACTAAGTAAAGTCCAAAACGGCTCGCATCAAAGAGAAATTTAGCAAATGTAAGAATAATTTTTTTTTTAGAATTTTCACTATTTAAGAAAAAGAATCGGGTGATTGTGAAATGAGAATAAGTAAAAATTGGTTAATAACTAAAGTCAATTATAAAAATATCAATTCTGTGTAGTTTTCGTTAAAAAAATGCTATATAGATATATACTTCATTTTAATTTCAAGTTTGCTTCAAACCCAGTAATTAAACCACAAAAATTGAATATGCGTGAGTGAAAGGGGTTGTATGTGTATCTTTGATCTTTTTCAAAAGTAACCTCCCTTTTGCTTTGTTGACCATTGGCAGGCAAGTTTTGGTTAGATTCACGAAACAGGTGTAGCTCGATTTATTTATCTGAAAATAAACCAAAGCGAAAGTGCACTTCGCGTGCCACCATCAACTTTGACTAAAAATGAAACACTGAGATAAAAAGCGGCTTTAAGTTAAAACAACAATTTTAGGAACAATTTTACAAAAAAAAAACAAAAACTGCTTGATGATTGGTTAAACTGTTATTCAAAAAGTTAATTTTGATTCCGATTTTTAAGGCATAGCGTGAACGTTGAAGGTTTTCAATAGATAACTTTTCGAGAAATATTATATGACAGTTACATCACAAAAGAATTGGTAACTCACTCTCGTAGAAAAATCTTTTGATAAGATATATGTTCAGAAAAAGTTTGATATATCAGGTTATGGTTTTGGCTTTTCTTTGGCGTTATGGTGATAACTGAGGTTGAATTGGCGTCGATATTTCGCTATTTTTTCCTAATTTTCTGCGTAAATCTCGTCCCCTACAAAGTCGATTTAAAAGGAAACTTTTGGTCTCTTTTTGGCTACACATTTAGGTTCATTAAATTTTTGACTGGTTAAGACTTAAGGTTTTATCGTATTGATTCCTAATAGACTAAGCCTTTGCCATTTCAAAAACTTAATCTTTAAAAAAAACTTAGAGTTCGAAATTATCAAGGGGTACTGTCGAGGTACACTCAGGAATTGTTTATATGGACTCTGAACATGACTGCTCAACGCATTTCTATTTCCTTGATATGAATTATGATTCGTTTTTCATGATTTAAAAAAGACTTAATTCCGAAAAAAAAAATTCAAATTTTGAAATTGTCGACGCGTTTGTGGGATGAAGTTAGATAACTACCAGCAGTTGCAGATGTGGCCTACAACCCAATTCAAAAATCAAAAATTTTCAGTAAACTGTCGGTTAAACTAAGAAAAAAAGTCTGCTGTTCTAAATAAAAATGAACCAAGTTTAACAAACGTCTCATTCATGAATTAAGTGATTTTGCATATGAATTTGTCAAATATGGGTAGTTTACTTGTATACTGTCAGCCATTCTAAAACCCAGTAGTTGAAACCCAGTAGCTTCAGAAATCTGACCATTTTAGTTGAAAAACATTTCACTTTGATTTTTTTTCAATTTTTTAAATGAAAAGCGTTGTTGGTTGCGCCCGTCTCTTCCTACGGTTGCATTCTTTTCATTGTTTTTTTTCCATTTATTTTATATATAAGCAGTTTTCACGTTAAATGTTAAAGATTTTGTTTGAAGCACCGGAGTTGCGTTACACGCTAGTTTAAATTTAACTTCTGGCTGGGTACCAGTGAATTGACTTTCAAAGATCTTGCCTGGCATGTTTGCCTATAGTTCCTGTTTGACAAAAAAATGTATGTTGAAAGTGTATGAGATTGGGTTTTTTGAGACGCTTTGGGAAGTTTTATCACTTGCTATGCCCAATTTTTTTAAAACAAAAAGTTATGGCCCTCAGAAAAGTCACATTTTTGATTTTTTGACCTTTTTTTTAATATTGGATTTTTATCGAAAACTAATCTACCAAATCTGAGATTTTGGTATCATTGAATAGAAAGAATTTGACAAATTCTCCTCAATAAGCGGATACACCCAAACTTTTTTACACGTAAAGTTATAGCCCTAACAAATTTAAAAATATCATATAGATACCTCCAGCTTTAGCTGGACCACTGGTTGTTTTTTGATCGAGACATACGAAACTTTTGGTTCGCCTAGTTTTTAACTTTTTTCGTTTTTTTTTTCGGCTGATGCTTTTTAAATTGTTCCGCTTCGCCTGTGTTAATTTCTCAAGTCGCTTCGAAGAAATAATTGCTCCTCGGAAAATAGAGTGTGTTATGACTGATTGAACTGCCGAAGCAGTATGAAAAACAAAATCATGTATTCCTAGTGTAGACCCTGCGCTGGTACCGTAAACAAAAAGTTGGGACAGATAAAAGAGCAATCTGCCAATTCTGAACGAATTAATATTGTGGTTTTTGCAATTCGCTGAGGATCTATGAAAAGCTATCCAGCCTGTCTAAGCATAGTTCGTTTCTCTTATTTCCCTACATTCTAGACTGAGTTATTTTGTTGCACGAAGCGCCTTTCTTAGCAACTTAAAGATGTTTTTCTTGTTTCTCGAATTTTTACGTGGTACCACTATTGCAGCCGAAATGTTCAGGCTGTTGTAGACCTGAAGCTAGAGGTAAAGTGAGAGCTCGTTCTCATAAATTATCATTGCTATGATAGGGGATCGATTGAACGATCTGGCGATCTCCAAGTGAACGCCTTACTACTATGCTTAGTGCGTCTTATTTTTATGAACTGGCTTTTAGCATGCAACTTTTGAAAACAAAAATTGGCTCTTTATAATTGTTTGTGGGTTTTGTTTTATCTAGTTAATGCCAGTCGGCAATATCGGTGACCTTGAGCAATTTAATTGGTCAAAAACTATTTATCTTTTTAGGTTTATTAGGTTTTCTTGGATACGGTTTGTACGCGTAGAAATTAGTGAAACATCGAAATACGATGTCGAAATGAGCAGTTTTAGTTTAATTAACTTCGTTCAGATTCATTGACCGAAAAGATTTGCCAACTATTTGGAATTAACTATGTAGAGAGTTGCTAAAAAGTTGGAACTGACAGAATTAATGAAAAGGATCAACTGACTTTTTTCAGAAAACTTTTGCATGCAAGACCTCATTTTTGAGACAGAAAATATGAATCAAGGTTGCCCCAAAACTCAAGTTTGCAAGCGAAAGTTTCTCAAAATTGGTGGATTGCTCTTTTTAATTATTTCTGGATGTTCCAACTTTTGCTACTATTTATTAAGAGTAATGAACGTAATGAAACTCATAGGTCTTGCTGATTTTTCTTGTTTTTTTTTCAGGAAAAATTTGTTGACTCTCAATTTTGATTTTTTGCAGTTTGACTTTTGATTTTTTTTCAAATTCAGTGCATTTCTATTGTTAAAAGGAAGGCAAACTCCACTATCGCAAACTCACTAACAGCAAAATTGTAAAGGTAAAGAAAAACGTGATCTACTTCCAAGTTTGAAAATGGAAATTAATTATCATATATCCCAGCGAAATAAAAGTTTTGCCTATTGATCCAGTTTTCTCAAATTGGGTTAACTTTAACAAAAAAGTGTCCATCATTAATTGTTCCACAGCTTCAAAGAGCTTTACTGCCATCTAATTTTTCATTCGAAATTCAAAAGTTGAAAATTTTTGAAAAACCAGTCGTTTTTTTTTCAGTTTCCTTGCGTTCATTACCTTCTTTCGAACTGTCAGTTGGCTATGTTTTTGGCTATGAAATTATTAAATATGAAAAAATTTGTTGTACGCTGTCGGCCATTTTTGGGAAGATCAGAATTTCAGTTAACTTTGTATTTATCATTATTTTTAAAATCGTCTTTGTGTGTTTAGGCCGCTGAAAACAGAGTGAAGAGAGTCAGGGAGAAGTATGAGAGTGAGATGAGGGAGATGGAAGCGGTGGAGAGGAACACGATGGAGAGATACAACACACTCAAGGTACACTACAGTCCATATATGGTCACTCAATCAAAGTCACAACATATTTTATACATAAGTGGTCATACACACATTTCATATATTTGAACAATCGAAAATATACATTAAGAAATACGCATGAAGATTCAGCAAAGTCTCAAAAGGAAATATTTTAGCTTACGATGTTTCTGTATGAATTACAAGTTGTGATAACCAGTGTTTACACTTGCGAGTAGCTAGTGTATTAATACGAACCTTTTTTTATTTCTGACCTATCTCGCAAATGAAAGTGTTCATTGAAAGTGTTCACTTATATGGAAATTTCACGCTAGCATTGGACTTTTTACTGGAAAGAAAGAATAACAGTTAAAAAATTATTGATTTTCTACAGGAAAGAATAATGGTAGTGTAATTTTCTACTCTTTTCTATCCACTGAAAATTTTTTCAAAAGTCTATTTAGTTTTGAAAAATTAATCGTGTCAATTATTTTGATGTCTACAGTGCTGCTTTAAATTTTCCAGAGAAAACGAATAATGCTTTTAATTTAAAACACGGTTTTCTCAAACTGAGTTGACTTATGACAACAAATGAAGAAGGCTAAACTTGCTTTTGCTTACAGTCTAATAGAATTATGGTGCAGTTTTAGTTTGCGCCTTTCAGGCCTGAAATTTTACCCTGAAGCCGATCATTTTTGGCTTTTTGTCAGTCAATGAATTTACTTAGAACTAATGCATCAATTGCTGATAAAAAACTATCACAGTGAGCCTCTTATTCAGCCGAACAAGGGGTTTAGTTTCTAAAAAATTGAGCAAAGTTTTTAACTTTTTTCAACTAGATCAATTGGTGTTTTTATATATATTAAAAAAAAACACTTCTTGGCTATCAAACGAAAATAAATTTTGAAGATTATACCCTTCTTAAACTTTGTTTGGTCTCAAAAGCGGCCAACTTTGGTTTTGCTATATCAGCAAGCGATCATGTAATGTAGTTCAAGCGGAATTTGAAAGCAGCAAACCAATCTGAGTGCAGCAAAATTATAATCCTCAAAAAAAGCTCGAGTGCTTATGTACAGTATTTGTTTATAGGGGTGGAGATTCTTGAGTTGGTCTTATTTGACTTTTTGGTCTAACTAAGTTTTGGCAAGAACTACCGGATCAATTGCTGATACAACAATACCAAACTTAGCCTCTTATGTAGCTCAACTAAGTTTAAGAATGGTATAGTCTTTAAAATTTAGTGTAAATGAATTTTTCTCGTTTGATATCGAAAAGGTGTCATGTGTCATTTTTAAATATGAAATGTCAAGTTTTTAGTAAAAAAAAGTTTTGCTTTAATTTAGCCTTCTTAAATTTCGTTGGTCTGCATAAGATGCTCATTTTGGTATAGTTTTGACAGCAATTGAACCAGTATTACTGGCGTAATTTTTCAGTAACTAAAATGATTGATTTTGGGGTAAAGTTTTAGACCCGAATTTCGCAAAATAAATTGCACCATGATAATTCTGTTAAACTTTTAGAGTAGTTTTGTTTTCAAAGTTTCTTGGTCTAAATTCAACTCAATTTAAGAAAAGCGCGTTTTGAACTTCAAGTTTTTTTTGTTTTGTTAGGTTAATTTACATCAGCACTGTATTTAGGCTCAGTATGCAGAAGTTGAGGGCGAGAATGCACGTCTGAAAAGCGTGCTGAAAGAAAAAGATCACGACTTGGATCAAATCACGAAGGTGAAGGAGAAGCTAACGCGTGAACGAGACTCAATGTCTGACGTCATTCGTCAGGAGTTCGCTGACCGATTAGTCGCAACTGAAGACGAAAACAAAAGACTTAAAAACGAAATGAGTGAATTGAAGGCAAAAAACCGACTGGAAATTGACAGAATTACTCGAGATAAAGAAGAAGAAATGGCGGAAGTTCACAAGCGTGTAAAGCAAGCGTTGGTGAAGAAAGAAGAAATTGTGTCGCAGATTCGAAGTAAATACGAGGCTGCAGAGAAACGTGCGGATCACTTAGAATCGCTTTTGGAAAGTCTGAGAAAGCAAAATACTTCCAAACATAAATAAGTTATTGTGAAATATTTCATATTGTAGGCTCTATGTAGTTAATGCCAAATTGACTGTAATATCCTTTTGGTCAACGAATCTCGAAGAAGTTTTGTAGCCTTAAACTTCTCGTGTTGAAGCGGTAAACCAACTTTTCACTTATTTCAACACGTAGAAATTTTGCCAGAAAAGCTAATCACTGTTTTTTGACCGATGAAGATTCTCAAGGTCACCAATTTTGCCAACAGTTTGGCACTAACTATAAATTTTGAACAGTATTGCATTTTTAGAAGTATTATTGTTTTTAAATCAATGTGAAATAGTGTAAAGTGTAAGATATCATACATCATGTGTTTGTAATGTAAATATATTTAGAAAATGAACTTAGTTTTGCTCATTCTCACTACTAGAAACAAGGGGGTTTTTTAGTAAGGTTTGTCTAATAGCTCTGGTCAAAGATACCTCAGCAGTCCAAGAGTGCAAAATGTAGTTAATAAAACATTGGATCTTGTCAGAGGCAGCGCCTATTTAAATATTTAAATACAAGTAAAGTGTAGGTGGTTCTGAGATTTTGCGCGGGAATCAGGAGTTAGGCGCGTCTCAAAATCAAAGTTATGTCGGTTTAGCTCTTTGGTTTTTTTTCACAGAATCCATTTTCACTGACTAATACCTCCTTAATATTATAATAAAGGCGTCTTTGGATCCAATTTATACTAATTTTTGGGGGGAGGCGCGCACCAAGAAACGCATTTTGTCCAAAAAAAATGCAATAACTTTCGAAAAAAGTGCCTGAAAACAGCAGTTAGACCTGTTTCGTAGCACAGCAAATTTTGGCTACATAATGTTTTAATAATCTTCTGGGAGACTTGGGAAACACAAATTTGATCGACCTAAAAAAGTTGAACCCTCGAGCAAATCTTAGATCCGCTACAGACTAAAATGGAAAAAACCTTACTACTTGTCAATGAGCTAAGTGAGTTATCGCTTATTTCGTCGTTTTATGGAGAAAAAATTCTCAAATTTGTTCACGCTCAGATTTGGTTTTTCGCGATTTTTGCTTTCTAATTCAATTCAAATCGTTTGAAGAACTGAAGATAAGTAACGCTCGTCAATAACTAATGGTGCGAAAAATGTGATTGACCTTTAAGTTTGAAATTAGAGTAAGCGCCAATCAAGGCAGTGTAGACATTTGTATAGGTCGTGATGATTGTTTTGAATTGTTACAGAAGTCTAGGAAATTTTTTCACGCTCAAATTTGATTTTTCGCCGTTTTCTTTTTGATTTTGTAAAGGTCCATTCATTTCTTGGGTTAAAAGGAAGGCAAATCCAGGATTGAATAGCATGTAATGGTCTCAAAAAACGTGAAGAAATATAAAAGTCACGAAAAACGTGATCGAATTCTAGTTTCGAAACTGGATTTTAGTTATCAGATTTCCCAGCGAAATAAAAATTGAGTTAATTGTCTTCTCAAATTGAGTTAATTGTATCAAAGTGTCAGTCATAATTTTTTCTTGAAATTCAAAAGAGTTTTTTTAAAAATTAACTCAGATTTTTTTTTGCTGTGATAGACTTTTTTCTTATTGTCTGATGTCTGAAAGTTCATTTTAGTTTCATTTGCTAAAAGAAAGCAAAATACGCTCCCTAGATGAGAAATTGGCAATCGCATGAAAAAATGTGAATCATTCTTATTTTCGAAGGTGATTATAATTTCTTTTGTTCGAAGATGAATACTCTTATCTTATATAAATCTTGGGAGATTTTTTTCTTTTTTTTCCCAGGAAAAAGTCATAAATTTTATTCACGCTTAACTTTGATTTTGCGCAGTTTCACTTTTGATTTCCTTTTTGTACTTCAATTTGGAAGTTGGAAAATTTTGATTTTTTGTATTTCTTGAGATAATTGTCAATTTTCCAATAGTCTGACTTTCTTAACTTACTAAGCCTGAAGATACAATTCTTAAGTATGTAAAAACAATAGAAATCTCGACCGTGGTTGGTCGAAATAAATTTAATTGGTTTTTCAGTTTCAGTTTCGATCAGAAATCATGCACGACTTTTTCGGAGATAAATTTCTTTTTCAAATGCAACCCCCTAAAGCGAAATTCATTACTTTCCGGGAAAAGGGTGAAAAGAACGAAAAATTACCAATTTTTTTCAGCTCCCAAATAACTGAATTGATAAATTTTCCATTTCAGATTTTAATGCCTCAAACATATCAGTGAGTTATGGTGCTTTCATGTAAATGGCTAAACAGCTCGAACTATTCGACTCGCTCAACCTTACTGGGAATGTGCGCAACAGTAGTACTAGGGTGAGTATCATTTTAAGCTCAGCTGCATTAACTATGATTCGCAAAAGAAATTTTAATCAGCTATAAACTTGTTTTTCCGACCACTTCACGAAGTGACTTCCAAGAATCATTTTTTTCCAGTCAATTTTGGGGATCTCTTGTCTGTTTAATGTAGTCTATTGGAACGTCTAGCTATTCTGATTGGTTAAAAGTTTTCCATCAATCGCTCCCTCCATCATGAGAAAACCACCTTCCAATTCCTATGGTTTTCATTTTCTTTGTGATACAGGACTGGAACATAGCTTTTTTGGGGTACTACAATATCATTAGCAGCAGGTGCTGTGAACGGGCTTGTTTGCTTTGCGTGGTCTCTCAGTTTGACTGTTTTCGAATTATAAAAACAGTCAAATTGGGTATTTAGAATATGGAATAAATTTATCCGACAAGGAAAGCTAAATTTTTGGGAAGGAACAATGGCCAAGGGTTGATACTTTCTGGCCGACTTGGACTATCTCGAAAAAGTTCGTCAAAAAGTCTAGTTTGGTATATTATGAAAGCCCTGTTGATCGTCATTCGGGTTTCTAAAAAGTTGAAAAACTGGTCTACATTTATGGCTGTTCAGAATGACCAGAAAATTGCTTTGATATTCAGTCACTTTTGGTTTTTTTGTCAACTAATTTTACTTGAATACTTTCTACAATATTTAATACCCACTTAATTTTTTTCCGGTTTATACGCATTTGTATAGTTTCATCACACCACGGACAAGAAACGACGCTAATTCGAAGAAAAAAAAACTTTTTTTGATTTTTATGAATCTGGTCGGAATTTTCTGCTACTTGCACAGCAACTGGCTATACTTGATGCTTCTTAAGATTCTTATTTTTTTTCCAAGAAAAAGGTAAGTTTGGTCTTGCTCACTTTTTTATACTTAGTTTTTTTTAAATTAATTTTTTTTTTCAAGTTGACATCATTTTTTTTGTGAAATGGAATTATTCCTAACAATTTTTAATTCTCTTAAGGCTCTCTTAAAATTAAATGGTGGAAAAATGGAGCTTGATTTAAAGACTAAAAATGGGTTGCAAATAAAAAGTAGCCACTGATCTATTTAAAAAATCAAAAGTTTACCTTTAAAAAAATCTAATCTTGATTTTTGATTCAAAATTGAGAAAATCAGTTGTTTTCTTGTTCATTAACCGTTTTTCAACTGCCCGCTCGCAATTTTTTTACTTGCTCTGTCCAAAATACACGCAAAAAATGTGTTTAAAAAAATATACTCCCGGTTCACTCAAATTTGGTCCAAATAAAGTTTGAGCATTTCAGGTTTTCATCGGCAAATATGAGAAGAGTTAGTAAAACTAGCCAGCGCTGTGTTTCAGAGTGCTGTTTTTTGGCAACAAGTCGCGCTATATTCAAGATAATCTACCCGTTTTGAGCCAGTATCGAAATACAATGGATGAATCTGAGTTTGGAGACGAAGTGGATGAAGATCCGTTCAAGTATCTACCTCCAGAAAGCGAGTTAAAAGCGACAGCGGCGGCACAAATGAAGTTGATGAAATTCATTGCAAATGAGAAAAACTCTATCCCAAAAATGGAAAGTTTGATCAATAAAAAGGTCAAATTGAAAGAAGTCAAGTGCGAACTGCCAAAAACATTCATCAGCAAAAATTGTGCCCATATTGTGAGTTGGTTTGACGGAATAGTTTATCAAAGCAGTTAGGCAATTATTAAGACCATTTTAAGGCCTATACATGTTTCAGGAGATATTAAATAGATAATTTAATTTGGTTGGTATGCATCACAGTCGCTCTTGTGTTTCGTAGCTCATCCGTACTTGGAGAAGGTAGATAAATATTCAAATCAACTGTTCACAGCAAGTAGAATTCAAAACAAGTAGTAATTTACAAGCTTATCAGTAGACCGTGTGGTCATTTTGAGATATATTATGGCATCTAATCATCCCATTTCAACTGATATGGACTCTTTGCAAGAGTTGGATGCGGATGTCTTTAAGGTGAGTGCGAGAAAGCGAGCCCAAAATTCAAAACGGTTCGCTTCTGATGTCGCGAGACTACAAATTATCAAAGTGATTTGCCTTGCGGTTGCTTCTGATGAAAAAGTGTAGATCGGGTATTTCGTTAAAACCCGGTTAACTACAAATGTTTAAAAGCACACGGCTATCTAACCACCCGAGTGAGGTTTACAGAAAAGCTAAGAAAACGAAGGATCTTTTTAAACAATCCCCTTCCCCCTATGGTATCTACTTAGAATCTCCGACTCGAATATATACAGTAATTTAGCACTAGAGCTTTGTAGTGAGAATTCCAATTTTGCTGCATTCTGATTGGTCGAAACTTCGACTAACTTAATCTACGCAACAAGCTCCCCCCTTCCTGAAAAGGGGTGGGGATTATTAAGTAGATCCAAAACGAATATTGCCGGTTGCGATAATCGTTTTCAATATAATTTTGTGTCCGGAACAAGAAGTCTCGATGAAGGATAAATATGATTATAATATTATCTGTAGGTTTATTTTCATTTGCGTTCTCGACATTTATGTTGTTTGAAACTTCGAAATTTTTGGATTGACTGAGTTTTTCAATATCGAGTTATATTAACGTGTCGGTTTGCTTACACGCGAACTTGAACTCTGCGTTTTAAGGAGGAAAAGGCGACTGAGAAGATAGCGGGCGTGGACCTTTTCTTCATCTCGACCGAGTGCAGTGACTCTTTGGATAACGGGAAGCCCTGGATTATATTCCTTCATGGGGCCAAGTTTTCCTCCAAAAACTGGGTAGACATCAATTTGTTGAGAATGACGGCTAAACTCGGCTTCAATAATATCGCCATTGACTTGCCAGGTTAGTTTTTTCAATTATCTTTTCTTACAATCACTAGGGCACAACAGCGGATCTTGCTAAAGAGTTGAGCAGCTCGTATTTTAGTAGAACAATAATTGATTTATCCAGGAGTATAAATTACGTAGCTAAAAACTCAAGGTAAGAAAACTTACGAAAGGTTTGATAACAATATCAGCTGATCTGCTCTAAATTACCCTTGTAGCTTAACTAGTCCTTTCCCCTTTTAGATAAACGGTCTCACATTGACTGAACTAACTTAGCCCTTGTTTCAAGTTATCCCTATTTCTGTAGTAACAATAGTTATAGTTACACAAGCGAGCTTGCGAAGAATAGTGTATTAGTACCAACAAATAATAGTTTTCATTAAAAGTGTGACTTAACTGGTGGCACTTCTGCTATAAACACGATCCGTAGTGTTGAAAATTTCATAGCATCTGTTCTCTGCTTTATTTGTCGCTAGTGTTTCTGATTTATTAAGGGTCTGTGGCTGATTGGTTAGTGCGCGAGACTCAAAATCTCTAGGTTGCCGATCGAAGCCGAGACGTAGCCGAATTATCTAATTCGAGGCTTATTTCTATTTTTTTGAACTTTATGGAGCTGCTTTTTGTCGTGTTCTTGCTAGTGTTTGCGAAGCGCAGCTTCACCTCTGTGTTGACATTTTTTTTGCAGCAAAAAGTTGGTTACACCATCATGAAAATATTTGCTCGAGTTTGTTGAAGTATCAAATTTAGAACTGCGTTGTTTTCGCTGTGGGTTAAGTATTGACTGGTGTTGTGGCTCTCAAATGAGTTTAGATCGATATATTGACTTTAGTACTAAAACAGAAGGCATTGCAAAGAATTTATCCGTGGCGAAGTAGTGACATGTTTATTTGTCAATGTTCTGAGCCATTTTAGGCAAAATTTGAAAATTTTACTAGAAATTTTCAAATTTGTTACTGGTTTTATGGTGAATTGTAGCATATTTTGGTCATGTATGTTAAAAATCGTAAATGTTAAGTTGAACAGAAATAGAAGTCTGCCTACCATGTAACTCTACCTTCTAGCTTTTCTGTGATTATTATTAGTTATGTTTTGTTGTGGATTTTTTCAGGATATGGTAAAACCGAGAGAAGCAGCGCGGCAGTTGACGACTCGCAGTTCATAGAAGCAGTTGTACGCCATTTTGGATTCAAACAATACATTGTTGTCAGTCCTTCGATGAGCGGTCAATTTTCTATGCCATTGCTGCAAAAGTTAGATTTTTCCTATAAATTTCTTAGATAATTTTTTTCGATTATCAATGAATGTTCAGAAGGGTGTTGATAATATGATAAAAGTTCAAAATCATTTGCTGAAAAACATGTAAGTGACGCTCTGATGCCAAAGTTGCAAATGGAGCGAGAAAAGGTGAATGAATGTTTGGTTAATTTTGGTTTCGTCCTACGGAACTGCTCTCAATTTGCGCTCAAGTGTTGTTCTCAATTTGATAGTAGCATTTGTTTTATCCGCGTTGTAGAGTTCGTGTTACTAGATGAAGCATAATCTCCATAGTTTGAAGCATGTGTCTGACAAAGCCAACTGCCCTAGCTGACTTATAGAGTTTACAAATCATCTAGTAACACGAACTAGTAGCTCTAATAAACGGGATAAAACATAAGCTACTATCAAATTGAAAAACCAAAATTGATGAAACCAAAATTGAAGAAACATTCATTAACGTTTTCTGCTGAAAAATCTTGAAATTATCACTTGCGAATTTAGAAGTTGTTTATGTTTTTTGCGCCGTTTTAGCTCTCGTAATCGGAAAAGTAAAAGTCATATTTGTTGCGAGCAAATCTTGAGCCTTTTTCCTGCTGAAAAAATCATCACGTGTATAGTGTCTTCAAATCTTCATTGAACTATACAAAGAAAACAACAAGTCAAACGATCGAAGATCAAATTTGGCGTGAACTCTAACTCGAAAAATATATAGATCTTGTCTCAACGCGTTTGTTTAGCGTTTAAAAATAGCAAACATGATTAAAACCATAAAGATACTATCAAATTGTGCAGTGGCCATAGATTTACTAGAAACGCACATCAAATAATTAAAGATAGCCAACGGACCTAATTTGTCATAAATGGATCAACCAAGTTATTAATTTATCTGTAAAAATTAACTGCTTTTCGTCTCTGCGAAAAATGGCAAAAAACTCTGATAAGGCAAGAAAAAATTAAGAAAGCTTGAAAAAAAACTATTCAACAGATGTTCCATAAGATTTTCTCCAAATTAGGAAGCATTTGTCTGACAGCCTCCTACCCTAGCTGCCTTATAGGGTTTACTCTTCATTTAGTAACACGAACTAGTAGCTCTAAAAACGCGGATGAAACAAATGCTACTATCAAATTAAGAATTTAACTTGAGCGCAAACTGAGAGGTGTTAGGTTGAATGAAACCGAAACCGTTATTAAAGAAAGATTCATTCACCTTTTTTTGCTGAAAAATCCTAAAATTGAAATCCACTTTCGAAAGGAAGTCGTTCATGTCTTTTTCGCGACATTTCCGCTCTCATAATCAGAAACAGATCATATTTGATGCGAGCTAATTTTGAGCCCTTTTCCTGTTAGAAGTTCATCAAGACCTGTATAGTGTCTTCAAATCTTCATTGACATATTAAAAATCAGTATTTTAGTGAGCAATGTTGAAAACATTTTACTCGAAAAAAAAACGAATTCAAACGAAAAATAAAAAAATGAATTCAACTGATATAGGCCTCGTCTTCACTGTGTTTATTGACTTTTAAAAACGAAATAGCAAAAATGGTTAAACGCTTAATGTAGTCATTGGCCATGTATTTACGAGAGTAAAACAGATCAAATAATTAAACCTGGCCGACGGACCTAATTTGTTATAACTCGATCAGCAAAGTTATTCGTTCCTCCGAGAAAGTAAACGCGGAGATGTAGCTGCTTTTCGTCTGAAAAAATGGCAAAAAAGATTTGATAAGGCTACAAAAAAATAAGAGCGCTTAAAAAAGAGAACTATTCAACAGAGGTTCGAAAACTATTCAATTTCTCAATTTGCGCCGAAGTGATGTGCTCAATTTGATAGTGGGATTTGTTTAACTGCTTTTTAGAGCTACTAGTTCGTGTAACTAGATGGTTTATAAATTCTAAGGCAGCTAGAGCAGTTGGCTCTGCCAGAAAAAAGCTTCACAATTTGGAGATGCGCTTTTCGAACAACTGTTGAGTAGTTCTTTTTTGAAGCTTCTTATGTTTCTTTTTTTTTTCTTGCCCTATCAATGCTTTTTCCTGTTTTTTACAGAGAGTTTCATCGTTTGATTTAAATAATACGTCAATGAAGGTTTGAAGACATTATACTGGGCGTGATAATTTTTCTTACAAGAAAAGGGCTGGAAATTTGCTCGCACCAAATAGAATCTTTTGCTTTTCCGATTGCGGGAGCGAAAATGGCGCGAAAAGATATGAACGACTTCTAGTTTTGAAGAAGGATTTTAATTTTGAAATTTTCTGCGGAAAAGTAAATATAACCCTTAATCCAATTATCTCAGATTGGGTGAGTTTTATCCTAAGAAATGTCATGCTTAATTTTCTTTTTGGTTTTAAAGATTTTTAAGGCTCGTTGTTTGTTTCTGGCTGTTGGTTATGTTTTCTGCTTCAATTAAAATTATTTTGCTCTATTATAGTCAAATAACGCTTTTCAGTTACGAAAACTGAAAAAGGCCCAAAAAACTTGAACTAGCTCAAGTGTCTGAAAGGGTTTTTAGTTTTAAGATTTCACAGAGGATAGAAATATTACCCTTTGATCCAATTTGCTCAAATAGGGTTGATTCTAGCAAGAAAGTTTCCACCATCGTTTTTAAAAAGAGAGAAATAAGGTCATCGTTTTTTTTCGAAATTAGAAAGTTGAAGTTTCAAACACTTTTCCAACTGTCAGTTGGCCATGTTTTTATTGCCGATGTTGTTGATTGTTTCAGAAAGCTAAAGGAATTGGTTGGCTTCGTCGCAGTCGCCCCAGTCAACACAGCTCTAGTCATCAACGAGGCCGAATCGATCAAGGTTTGATATCTTGCGATCTTCGCAAGAGAGACGTGTATTTAAGATTTTTCGAGCCCAATTATAACTCGAAGTGGTAGCTAAAATGAATTTTAAAGCAATCAAACCAGTTGAAGCTTTACTCTTTACAAAAAAATCAAAACCTGCAAAAGCTTGAAAAATTTGATCATTGTCATTTTAATTTGATTTTCAATCCCTGCTGTTGATTGTACCTTACTGGGTACCTGACTTTTTTACAGACTTTTCTTATGTGTTCAACGAATGGACAATTTAGTAGGAATAGAAAATTTCACGCGCCATCGCTAATATGCTCAAATTGAGCATATTAGCGATGGTGCGTGAAAATTTTGATCATTTAAATTGTAATTAGGTGGTCTTTGTTTCAGGCTGTAATTATTTTTCAAATTTTTTTTTGATTCTTGGTTTTCGTCCTGGTTTCCGTTAGTCCACTTTCCGTTTTTGAAACTTTTATTTTGTGTTATCTGGCTCGGATTTTATCGGCTTACATTCTAATAATGAGTTGTATTTTGATTTAACCAATTTTTACTACAAATGAAAGATCTGTAATATGTAAAATTATGAAGTCTGATTTTGAATTTTTTGAAATCGGTTTCGGCTTACATTTTATCGGTTTAGTCAACTCTGAATGTTTAGTTTCGAGAACAAAATATCTTCTCATATCTTTGTGTTTAAGTACGAATGGGTCGTAAACACGTTCAAAACTTGTTCAAATTTTTTTATAACAAATTTTGTTTTCATCTTAACAAGAGTCGACCTTAATTTTTTCACCTTATTGAGCCCTCGTTAAATGATTCCCACTGCTTTTCAAGACTGTTTAAGAACATCATTTGATAAAATCATGAAGTATTTGTGGTTTTAGTTTTTTTAGTCTTTTTAAAAGAACTTTTTTAACTCTAGTTTAAAAAAAAATTGAAGTTATTAGTGGTTGTAAGATTCTAAAGTCTCCTTTGCCCCTGGCTTAGAGGTAATTTGTTTGTCTTTGTACCGAAAGCTTTGGAATTGGAGTCCCGGTCGTACTTTGTTGTTACAGCATAATTGCATTTTCGGCCTAATGTTTATCTGATTTTATTCTGTCGGCTTAGTTGCAGTATCACGGATTGTTTTTGGCCTGTACGCTTTTTTTCCACGTAGTAACAATTATTGTCGATATAGATCTGTAATTTAAAAATTTACTAAATCTGACTGATATTTTACTTTTTCGTTTTTTTAAGAGTCGGTGAAAGTTATCATCTTCCTTTTTTTCTCAATGGAGAAATAAGTTTATTGACCAGCCCATTCTAAGTTTGATACATGTAAGCCTGGTAGCTTTGCCGCTTTTTGTCGCTCGGCAATTTGACTTTTTCATTTTTTTTTTCTTTCAAATATGACAGCGTGGACATCAATCTTGAAATCTTAGGATTACCAAGCGGGTGTTTTTGCACTAGCCTCTATGCAGTTGGAGACAGCATTTTCAATAACTAATAATAATAATAATAATTGTAGTTCCTGCGAATCGCAGAGGAGCTATCAGTAGGCCTTAACAGTCCTGTCGAGGATAGTCCATTTCTATTATCTCCCCACATTCCAGACTGTGTTATTTTGTTGAGCGAAGCTCTTTTTTGCGACTCAAGGCCGTTTTTGTGCGTCTAGAACTTTCACGTGGTACCAATATTGCTGCCAAATTTGGTCAGGTTGTGGTAGATCTGAAGCTAGAGGTCAAGTGAGAGCTCGTCCTCACACACTATCATTGCCATGGCATGGGATCGATTACACGATCTGACGATTCTAAAGTGAACGCCTTACCACTATGCTAAGTGCCCCCTGCTTTTAATACACGTTATTTAATACACTGGCAGTCGGAACATTCATGGTTTTGTCGTGCTGTACGAGCAGTCTTGTTATTGTTGGTCTCAGTTACGTATTAGGCCTCGTTTTTCTTTTTGCGGAGACAAACTTGTTGTTCCGATTTTCACGTTGCATCGTTTGTTCTAAAAATAAAGGTGATTGAACTTCGGACTACCTTGACAGCTATGAATGAAATTGCAATAAATAAAAAGTATGAGCGGCAAATTATTAATTCAAAGTAGACAGAGGCAAGTAGATTGGGGGGTGCGTATTCATAGGTTCCAAAATAAAAAAGCAGTGGCATAAGTTCCAAATCTTTTCAATTGGTCAAAGCACTAAATTAGCCGAGTCTCGGTTTAAGGTCGCCGAAATTTCGTATAACGTCCTACCCTTTGGTGGCAAGCTCGCAACATGTTGGCGCGGCTGCGGCGATCACTATTCTGCAGCTTGAGTTTATGCTGGTTGAACAGTAAACAATCAATCCATAAATTCGTTGGCTCAAATTTCAACCAATCAGAATTCACGAAGATAAATTTTGGAACTTATGCGACTGATTTTTTATTTTGGAACCTATGGGAATTCACCGTTTGGGGTGGCGGACATCAAGCAGACCGGATTTCAAGTCGAATCATAAAATTCGGGACTTCAAGCCGACCATTTCACTAAAAGTCATGAAATACGATTAGTTTGAAGACTGTTTTGAAGTGTTCTTTTTAGACGCCTACTTTGGTGATCGTTGGCGACAAAGATCGCACACTGGGTGCTGAGTCAGTCGATAATTTGTCCAAACTGAAGAAGAGCAAAGTTGTAAAACTGGCAGATGCTGGACATGCGTGCTATCTGGACAAACCAGAAGAGTTCATGAGCGAGTTCTTCCAATTTCTCATGTGCGACGTCGTATATTGAACAATTTTGGAAAAAAATTGTCCATGATGTTTTGAAATCAAAACTAAACTAAACAAGAAGCGTCTTCACAAAATTGATTAACCAAACAAAAGCTTTCTTTAGTATCCACCTTGAACTCGAAATTCTGATTTTTTAGCTGTTTGTACATAATTTTTCAGATTACGAAAAGGAGAAAATGTGCTGTAAATAAACGGGCTGCCTACAATATGTATGCCAGGTATACGCATTTTGTATCATGTAAACTCAAATTGATTATAATGTTTAGTTTCATCTATATACACTGACGCACTTGCATCCTTATTAAAGCAGCTGTGTTATTTTTCTTATAATCCGAAAAAAATTTACACATTACTCCAAGAATACAGATTACTTTGTCGTGGAAATCAAGATTTGAGGCCGAAGTCAAATGATTTCAAGTCTTAAGATGGCTTCATATGGCCACAAGTAAAATCTCGTGAACTCTTTTTAACGAAACGAGTGCTATTGTGACAAACATATAAGAACGGTAAAATAAGAAAACCGCAAAAGAATTATTTCACAGCAAATGGAAGCACCTGAAATGTAAGCAAGATTTTTTTTTACCACAAATGGAAACACCTGAAGCACAAAACGCTATTTATAGTTAGTTATATAACCAACCCTTTAGTTTCCGTTTAAGAAATTAGGCTGTCAATCTGAAGGTACGTAGTTCGAATCGCGTAGTCGCTCGAATCTTGTATTTCAGAGCCAATTTTTTCAGGCTCTTTTGTATTTCAGGCGTTTTCAGAGCTCACTTTGAATTCTTTGTGTTTTAGCTGAGAGCACTTCACCTTGTTGTGAATTTTGTATTTGAATTCTAAATGCTCATTTTTTTGGTTTTCTCAGCATGAAGTTGATTTGACTTAATACTTTTTTCAATGATTTTTAGTTTCTAGAGCTTATTTTTGCTAAATGCAGCTTCGCCGCAGCATTATCATTCCAGTCGATGCTGAAGCTTTTTCGGCATTTTTATTATGCTGTCCAAATCAAAGTTTTTTTTGCAAATTAAAAGAAATGGGAGCCAAGCTAAACCTTGAGCTTATAAGCTATAAAATTCAATAAAAAGCTATAAAATTGATCAGAAAATGATCCATATAGATTGAAATGGGGAAGGTTCTCATGCTTGGAGGACCGAATGCTTGAAAAATTTCAACAAATCAAAATTGCTGAGCGTTCTTATTGGCTAAATGCCTCTCCCACAAAATCGAAGTCAATATTAACAGAAAATGTATTAAATCAGAAGAAAATAATCAAAAATATTACGAATTGTGGGTTACAACCGCAATATTATTCAGATAAACATCAAGATTTATCAGTTCAAGTTCATAAAAGTCTCTCAGTCTTCGAAATTTGGCGTTCAACTGACGCCACTTAAATTTTTGGGCCGGAGGTTTTTCGCCCTTTTCAATCCAACCAAAAACTAAGCGCATTTTGTTTTCTTGGATTTTTAAATAGTAAATTATGGATCAAGTTAACATACTCCATCCCCTAATAGAGCAAGTTAAGATCCTCCACCCCAGCGCTTAAATTAAATTAAACTTGCTAAGCACTGCATGTAAAATGCTCGATTCTGATTGGCTGGAAATTCCCAACTTAGAACCAAGTTAACATCCTCCCCCCTAAACGTGTTTAGGGGGGAGGATGTTAACTTGGTCCTAAATTATTGTCCACAATGACGGTCTGATCCTGGCTATATCGATCCTGCAATATGTGAAAAATCATCTGCCTATTATCTAATCGGCCAATATTAACACTAATGGCCTGGATTTATGTTCTTACTTTGAGATTTTCGCGATTTATTTTTAGATTTTGAATACTCAATTCGGATTGGCTGAAAGTAAGCTAAAATTAATTTCAAGCATTTGGTCCTTCAAGCATGAGGGAGGCCACCGATTGAAATGGATTGATTATCGTAGAGCAATTTAATAATAATGATACATTGTTATCAGGCTCACAATTTTGTAGGCTAGTTAACGATATTGGTATTAACTATATCCCTGATCAATTTCTATGTCTTCGGCACACGACTACTAGCAATAGGGTATATGCCTGACATAACAACGGTTCTACGTTTTAATTTTTAAGCAGTAACAGCTGCGAGTTTCAAGAAATCAAAGCTCAAAACTATTAATGACAATAATTTTCTTTTCGGATCAGCTGGCGTCTATCCATAAAGTTGCCTTGGTTGCCATCTGTTAAACTTGTTTGAATTTTTGTTTAAAGCTGGTGACTCGGTTGCTCGACTTGTTTTCCTCAAAGTGAACATCATTCAACATAATTGCATGAAATTTTTATAGATATAGTTTTCGTCATTTTTTTTCTTTCTGGACTCAATTGCTTAAGTCTTATTTTTTTTTTCGTTTCTGCGATTCGCAGGGGATCTATGACAGGCTTTTTCTTCTGTCTAAGCATAGTCCGTTTCTCTTATTTACTTACATTCCAGACTGAATTTTTTTGTTGAGCGAAGCTCTTTTTTTGCGACTCAAGGTCGTTTTTTTTTGCGTCTAGAACTTTCACGTGTTTTTTTTTTGTCTAGAACGTTCACGTGGTACCCTGTGGTAGACCTTGTCTTCACACACTATCATTGCCATGACAGGGGATCAATTACGCGATTTGACGATCTCGAAGTCAGCGCATTACTATTTCGCCTCCCTTGAATTTTCTGATATTGATACAATTAAGTATGCAACGTTTTGCAGTATATCTATAACATTTTAGTCAATTCTACTGTAATACATAAAACTTTTTTGCTGCAAACGGTTATGCCAAAACGCTCCTTGTTACAGGATTTTTGCTTCCTGGTGATTTTTCCTCGCAAAATTAGAAGCAGCAAAGTCTTTTTAAAGACGGTCGAGTGACACATCAAAGAAAATCGTCAGTCGTGATAGGGAGAGATCAATTAAAGTATCAGAAACGTTCCGAAAACTTATTTCGCTATAATCTCGCTATCTTAACTAAATTGCCACCTCCATTAAGGCAAGAAATATGAAAAAATTTCCATAAACAAAAGAGTGATTCAAATAGAGAGTCCATGTTTTTTTTCAAATTTTTAACTTTACTATTTTCGGTAGTTTTTCTGCTGCACAACAAAGGGTTACTTTTTTTCTTTTCTCATAATTTTTTAAATTCATTTTGGAATCTGTTTATATAGCAGTTTTTTTTTGCTTTCTATCCTTCAAAACTTAAGTCGCCTTCTGTGTTTATTTGCTTTGTTATCTTATTTCATGCCTTTTGAAAGACAAAAATGATAGGTTTCTCCAAAAAAAAATCGGGTGTTTCGTGTTGAAAGAGTTCATGCGTTTTGAAATTTGGCCTGTTTTGTTTTCGGCTCAACGGTTTTACCCACTTTTTGTCGATGGGCTTAGTGGCCGCTCGGTAAAAATTAAAAGCATATTTAATACTGTTGGTTGTGTTTTTTTTACTGTGTTATGAAATTATTTTTTCCTTATCTTTTTCGAAAGTGTCATTTCCGTCTCATTTTTTGTTTACTAGCTTTAAATACCGCGCTTGCGTTGTATCGCCAGTGAGGTGAAGCTCCGCTTCGCTTCGCCGTTGTTGTTAAGTATCAGCTCTGATTTCGGTTTATTTAAAATGGCTAAGACACTTCATTTTGCATAGTTTTAGAGATGAAAATCATGTCAAATTTTTTTTCGGTTCCAGTTTGTTTGGGTTCCAGTGTCGTCTATCCAAATATTTTCTGCTTAGTTGCCGCATGGTGAATGCTTATTGAATGTTTGTTTATTGCTGGTTGTTGTGCTTCTTGTCAATTTTTTCACATAATGTGCGAGACAAATGTATGCATTTTTGTAATTCTATTTCCCTTTTACTTTCACATACTGGGGGTTTCCAATTCATCCTCCGCCTTGTAAAGCTTGTTTTTGTTTTAGGGCTGCAAAGCTCCGCTTAGTGTAGCCTCTGTGATGAAAATTAGCTCCCAATTTACGAACACGTTCAGTTCTTAGAGTGATCAAATTCCATTCTTCCATGTGGAGCAAATGGTTATCATTTAAAAGCAAAATCATTCGTATCAGGGCAAAACCATGAAAATTATCATCTATCGTTTTAATGTGTTTGAAGTAGCTTGAAATGAAAAATAGGGGAAAAATGAAAGTTTTCAACTTTTTAAATTTGTTTCGCATACTAATTTTTGATTAAATTAACTCCAATGTCACAAAAGATTGTCGTTTTTGAAACTTTTTCATCTAGTCAGAGCATCAATATCTTTCAGATTGTATCAAAATTGTCAAACTTTCAGAGCCAAAACTAATCAGGAAAAAAAGAAAAACCTAAGCAAAAAAATTCCTTCGATTTCTACGAAAAACGGAACAATAACTGGTTTTTGAAGCTCACAGCAAATGCAAGCACCTGAAATGTAAGCAAGGTTTTTTTTACCACAAATGGAAACATCTGAAGCGCAAAACGCTATTTGTAGTTAGTTATATAGCCAACCTTTTAGTATCCGTTTAAGGAATTAGGCTGTCAATCTGAAGGTATGTAGTTCGAATCGCGTAGTCTCTCGAATCTTGTATTTCAGAGCCAATTTTTTCAGGCTCTTTTTGTTTTCAGGCATTTTCAGAGCTCACTTTGAATTCTTTGTGTTTAAGCTAAGAGCACTTCACCTTGTTGTGAATTTTGTATTCGATTTCTAAATGCTCATTTTTTGGTTTTCTCAACATGAATGAAGTTGATTTGACTTAATACTTTTTTCAATGATTTTTAGTTTCTAGAGTTTGTTTTTGCTAAATGCAGCTTCGCCGCAGCATTATCATTCCAGTCGATGCTGAGGCTTTTTCGGCATTTTTATTATGCTGTCCAAATCAAAGTTTTTTTTGCAAATTAAAAGAAATGGAGCCAAGCTAAACCTTGAGCTTATAAGCTATAAAATTCAATACAAAGCTATAAAATTGATCAGAAAATGATCCATATAGATTGAAATGGGGAGGGTTCTCATGCTTGAAGGACCGAATGCTTGAAAAATTTCAACAAATCAAAATTGCTAAGCGTTCTTTTTGGCTAAATGCCTCTCCCTAAAAATCGAAGTTAATATTAACAGAAAATAATGTATCAAATCAGAAGAAAATAATTAAAAATATTACAAATTGTGGGTTACAACCGCAATATTATTCAGATAAACATCAAGATTTATCAGTTCAAGTTGATAAAAGTTTCTCAGTTTTCGAATTTTTGCGTTCAACTGACGCCATTTAAATTTTTGGGCCGGAGGTTTTTCGCCCTTTTCGATCCGGCCAAAAACTAAGCGCATTCGTTTTTCTTGGATTTTAAAATAGTAAATTATGGATCAAGTTAACATCCTCCCCTCTAATAGAGCAAGTTAAGATCCT